GACCCAGAGGGATCGGGTGGAGAGGGAGGTGGGAGGGGGGACTGGGATGGGGAATACATGTAAATCCATGGCTAATTCATATCAATGTATAACAAAAACTACTGTAATGATGTAAAGTAATTAGCCTCCAACTAATAAAAATTTAAAAAAAAAAAAAAGAAATCAAAGAGGACACAAACAGATGGAGAAATATACCATGTTCATGGATTGGAATAAAAAAAAAAAAAAATAAGCTTTTGTGACATCATTAGCTCAATTACCTGGTTTAATATTGAACTTGAATACATTCTGAATCCAAGGGTTGGGGTCCAAATGTAAATAGACTTAGAAGTCCTGTAGAATTGGGAGGAGAAAGCTGAGAATGATTCCTTGAATTTATATGGTGGATTAAAGAAAAAAGCATTTTTTCCTATCTAAATTTTTTTTCTGGGACAGATATTGATAAAAAGCTGGTTTATCACCACAACTGATGAATGTAAAAACTAGAACTAAACTGATGACATTACTGCTACTGCTAAGTCATGTCAGTTGTGTCCGACTCTGTGTGACGCCGTAGATGGCGGCCCACCAGTCTCCTCCATCCCTGGGATTCTCCAGGCAAGAACACTGGAGTGGGTTGCCATTTCCTTCTCCACTGCATGAAAGTGAAAAGTGAAAGTGAAGTCGCTCAGTTGTGTCCGACTCTTTGCAACCCCATGGACTGCAGCCCATCAGGCTCCTCCGTCCATGGGACTCTCCAGGCAAGAACACTGGAGTGGGGTGCCATTGAAACCTCCCTACTATCCCTGATTTCAGGCGATACGGTGCTTGGTCCAACCTTGCCTGTCTAATTAATGATAAGAACTCTATTTCCTGACCACAAGTCAGACTTTTACCAATATATTGTGCTCATGTCCATGAAAGTGATTTAATTTAGTTAGCCTCTTTCATTTATAAGGGATACCCACCCATTTGCTGAAGATTAGTCATTGAGTTTGTTAAGATTATTCATCTAGGAAGAAAATATTATCTGGCTAAAGGAAGTGGGAGGCAGTTTGAATGCTAATTGTGGTAGCTGGATAATGGCCCCCAACGATGTGTAGGTTTTAATCACTGGAATCTAGGAAAGTTGCCTTATGTGGCAAAAGAGATTTTGCAGATGGAATTAAATTCAGTTCAGTCACTCAGTCATGTCCAACTCTTTGCGACCCCATGGACTACAGCATGCCAGGCCTCCCTGTCCATCACCAACTCCTGGAGCCTACTCAAACTCATGTCCATTGAGCTGGTGATGCCATCCAACCATATCATCCTCTGTTGTCCATTTCTCTTCCCGCCTTCAGTCTTTCCCAGCATCAGGGTCTTTTCAAATGAGTCCGATCTTCACATCAGGTAGCCAGAGTAGTGGAGTTTCAGCTTCAGCATCAGTCCTTCCAATGAATATTCAGGACTGATTTCCTTTAGGATGGACTGGTTGGATCTCCTTGCAATCCAAGGGACTTTCAAGAGTCTTCTCCAACACCGCAGTTCAAAAGCATCAATTCTTTGGTGCTCACCTTTCTTTATAGTCCAATTGTCATATCCATACACAACTACTGGAAAAACCAAAGCTTTGACTAGACGGACCTTTGTTGGCAAAGTAATGTCTTTGTTTTTAAATATGCTGCCTAGGTTGGTCATAACTTTCCTTCCAAGGAGTAAGTGTCTTTTAATTTCATGGCTGCAATCACCATCTGCAGTGATTTTAGTCCCCCAAAATAAAGTCAGCCACTGTTTCCCCATGTATTTGCCATGAAATGATGGGACCGGATGCCATGATCTTAATTTTCTGAATGTTAAGCTTTAGGCCAACTTTTTCACTCTCCTCTTTCACTTTCATCAAGAGGCTCTTTAGTTCTTCGCTTTCTGCCATAAGGGTGGTGTCTTCTGCATATCTGAGGTTATTGATATTTATCCTGGCAATCGTGATTTGAGCTTGTGCTTCATCCAGCCCAGCGTTTCTCATAATGTGCTCTGCATAAAAGCTAAATAAGCAGGGTGACAATATACAGCCTTGACGTACTCCTTTTCCTATTTGGAACCAGTCTGTTGTTCCATGTCCAGTTCTAACTGTTGCTTCCTGACCTGCATACAGATTTCTCAAGAGGCAGGTCAGGTGGTCTGGTATTCCCATCTCCTTCAGGATTTTCCACAGTTTACTGTGATCCACGCAGTCGAAGGCTTTGGCGTCGTCAATAAAGCAGAACTAGACATTCTTCTGGAACTCTCTTGCTTTTTCAATGATCCAGCGGATGTTGGAAATTTGATCTCTGGTTCCTCTGCCTTTTCTAAAACCAGCTTGCACATCTGGAAGTTCTCGGGTCACGTGTTGCTGAAGCCTGGCTTGGAGAATTTTGAGCATTACTTTGCTAGCGTGTGAGGTGAGTGCAATTGTGTGGTAGTATGAGCATTCTTTGGGATTGTCTTTCTTAGGGATTGGAATGAAAATGGACCTTTTCCAGTCCTGTGGCCACTGCTGAGTTTTCCAAATTTGTTGGCATATTGAGTGCAGCACTTTCACAGCATCATCTTTTAGGATTTGAAATAGCTCAACTGGAATTCCATCACCTCCACTAGCTTTGTTCATAGTGATGCTTCCTAAGGCCCACTTGACTTCACATTCCAGGATGTCTGGCTCTAGGTGAGTGATCACACCATTGTGATTATCTGGGTCGTGAAGATCTTTTTTGCACAGTTCTTCTGTGTATTCTTGCCACCTCTTCTTAATATCTTTGGCTTCTGTTAGGTCCATACCATTTCTGTCCTTTATTGTGCCCATCTTTGCATGAAATGTTCCCTTTGTAGCTCTAATTTTCTTGAAGAGATCTATAGTCTTTCCCATTCTATTGTTTTCCTCTATTTCTTTGCATTGATCGCTGAGGAAGGCTTTATTATCTCTCCTTGCTATTCTTTGGAACTCTGCATGGTTAGTGGGCTTAAACTTGACAATCAGAAGTCCTTTTATGCTGGGGCTTTTTAACAGAAAAGCTTTGTAGAGTACATGATTAATTAAAAAAAAAAAAAAGTAGACAAGACAGAGGACAATTGACAGATGTCCAGTCCCTGAAATAATAGTGCGTGTTCTGTGCATCCAGTGAAGACAGAGGTGTGAAAAGACCTTTATTTTTCTTGACAGTATTTCACTTGATTGGAACCAGAATGGCAAAATTTTTATTCTTTTTTTTCAATATGTTGACAGAGGACCATAACTTTTTTCCCCAAAATAAATAAATAATAAGTAAATAAACCAAAAACAAAACACAAAGAACCCTATCTCAAATTGGCTGTTATTTGTTTTCCCTCGGAGTTGTTTGCTCAGGTGACCATCCCTTCCATGTCCCGATGAGGAGACCCAGAGTGAGCAGCGGTATTCTCCTCCAACTGTTAATACAAGGAGTTACAGTAGACATACAGAGAAAAGGAGTAATGGTTAGAACAGATGAACTTACTAAATACTGAGGATAAAGTGCTTTAAAAGCATTGTCTGTTATGCGCCCAATAACTCTGCCAAGCTGATGCTTTTATAACTCATTTTATAGATGAAGAAACCGAGACTTAGGGAAGTGATTACTATAATTAGCTCAGTAAGTGATAGAGCAGGGAATTCATATTCTTTCTCACCATGGTATTCATTCCCAATGCCCAGTACAGTACCTGATTTCTTTGATGCTTAATAAATTATTAGTTTAAATAATTATTTTTTAATATTTATGAACAGTTATGAATAATCAAACAAAGTACTAAAGAGGTGATTTGGTCATGAATTATAAGATATCTAGATGTGAATTATTAGCCACTTTATTTTGAGAAAAGGAATGAGAATTAAAATGACACTTAAGGAAGAGTTTTGAGCAGGATAAGCAAAAAGATGAAAGCAGGAGGATGTTAATCTAGTAAAAAAAAAAAAAAATTAATTCCAGTAAGGGAGATTCTCTTTGACAATTTAAAAATTTCTAGCAAAAAAACTCCTTATTCCTTAAACTCTTAATTTGTTTTTGATTGTTATGGTATTATGGCATTTTTTAAACTCCTTTCTTTGCAAAATTGCATATTCCAATTATTAAAGTTATAGAACCATTTTATTTTCAGAACCCATTTGATGAAATTGTTTCTTTAATATAATGATGCAGTCAAAGTCCTTGTCTCTCTGAATTTACAATTTGAGCAATTGAGTCCTCTTGTCACCAGGCACATGTGATCTTCAACATGTAGCTAAACTAAGTTTCCTTTGTCCCCAGAATACTATCTTCATATTAAATATGCCTCTATAATATCATCATTGTCAAAGGAAAACATATGTGGGATAGTTTGCCTTACTCATTCTCCAAACTGAACATTGATCTCATATACTATATTTAAATTACTCTTTAATCACATTTAAAGTTGGTAGTTTAAAGGTTAACTAGCTTTATCATGCTTCTGTAACTCTTAGCTGATTACTAGAAATATCATTTTTGTTTCGAAATTGTGAGCAGAAAGGGGAGAGAAGAGCAATAATTAATATATTTATTCAGGGAAGTATAATGCCATCATTGAAATTCAAAACAGTACCTAAAGTTACAGATATAAGGAGAAGTAGTCATATAGCCGTGTTTGTACCAAATGCTTGAAAATAATTTCAGTTGACAGTCAGCCTCAGCACCTTTGCATTCATAATTTCATGGGTTTTGAGCTTGGATATTTTCAGCTGTATAGAAAATCAGATTACTTTTCAATTTGTGGCAATTATGATGGTAACTAAATATTATTCAGGTATTACTCAGACCTGTGCATAACAGGAAAAGAAGCCCCTTATTTCCTCACCTAATGTGATGGCCCAACAGTTTGGGGAAGATCTTTGAAAACAGAAATGAAGTCTTAGATGAAAACTTTAACCCAACCACAGCCACCCATCTTCTTGAAAGCTGAGGTTTTTCACATGTGTTAAGTTAGAAGGGATGGCAGAAAAGGTAAATATTCCCGTTGAAAAATGTAAAACTAGAGGGGAGAAAATGATGACAGTAGACAAATCTGAGCTAACGTGATTCTGTTATGTATGTGTATTTGTGTGTTTCTTTGAAAATTTGGTAGATATTTTGCTGGATGATCCTGGTGATGCAACTGGACATAAAGATGGCCGCAGTGTGAAAATTATAGTCTCCATAAGCAAGGGCTACAGTCGAGCAAAGGTATTTCTTTAATTTTAAGCACTTTATTACTGTGAATGACCATGAATCAAATATATTCAAATATGAGTATTTGTTCTGATAAATATACTACCAGCAGTGTTTGTCTTGGCATTGGTTTAATATCTTTATAAAAGCATGAAAGTTAGGGACTCAAAAGAAATGGCCTCATCCTATAGATAGAAATGTGTCTCCGTACTTCATGTTTATTCACTGAAAACATTAGTGGTTGTCAGCCACCCTCATTCCTAAAATCTAAAAAAAAAAAACATATGGCTTACTTTGACATGAACATCTTATCTAACTAAATATAGGTGATATTTGTGATGTATGGTACTGTGTTGCTAGAACTGTCAAGATGGTCTTTTTACAAAGAGGAGATTATAAGCTATATGGCTATTCTAGACACTGAAAAGATATATATATTTTGTTAGACTCATTATAACAATGTCCATTAATGCTACTTGTGTGTATCATTTTTAAGCAAGGCCTTAGCTGAAAAGGCAAATATTTAATTTTTCTGAAGTCAAATATTGCCTTCAAATTGGCAATGCCATCCTATTATTAAGTCCAAGCTCAAGGTGCTGTCTGATTTGGTGGAAAAGGGCTTTCTCTTTGGGTTGCAAATGGAACCTTCCTGGCTATGTCCTAGGGAGAGAGAGATCTCTCTCTTACTTCCCCTACTTAGAAGGCTACTGATCCTATGATGTCAGACCCACTCTCATGGCCTAATTTAACTCTTATTCCCTCTTGCTGACTCCATTTCCAAACACCATCAGTTGGCAGTTGTGGTTTTAATATATGAATGTGAGTGGAAAAAGAACGTTCAGTCTATAACAGTAGTTTAAAAATAACAGTGGTTTTGCTATGAATTTCAAACTTTTGTTTTAAACAAATATTGGTTTCAGGTTATACCTAAGTAGTGGTGATAATGATTTTCCCTTATAGAGTTAAATGTTATAGATGAAGAAATGGAGGTCTGAGCCAGCTAAATGACTTGACCTAATATCACTTTTCTTAATTACATGGTAGATGTAGTTTCACTTTAGATTTTCATATTTGAAAAGTAAGCTAACCAGTTTAATAGTTTTGCTATGAAATGAACCATGTTTATATTTAAAACACAAAAACCCTACCAAAAAGAAAAAATCAAGTAAATGAAAGTCTTTGGGTTTTGAGATGTAATTTTGAAGATTCTCCAAGAATCTTCAAGAATTTCTTGTAATCCTGTAGGATATCCTGACAAGTATTCTAAATATTGAATTTTCTGATTAATTCAAAATGGAACCTGAGTTGTGAATATATGAATGCCATACTACCATGGATAACTTATTTTTCAAATTTGGATTCAATTTTAGAGATAATCTAAATACAAAATAATAAACTGAGTTTTGGACTTAACATTTAGATTGCAAAAACATTAAGATGAGATTTTAGGACTCAAGATATAGTTCTATTGCATCTCTATCACCATCTCCTTCCCACCAAGCTGCTCCTCTTCAGAAAAGTACCTGCTCGCTAAAATGGAAGACTGTTCTCTCCTGGACCTTTCCTTTCTACTGAACAGGTCATGAATCAGTTTTCCTTGGCCATACCACTTCATCTAACCTCTTTCTCTCTTGTTTTGTTGCTATTCCTGTTACTTTGCTTGTTAGTTAATTAGTTACTTTGGTTGCTTTGTTTGCTGGGGTATTTTGTATAATTCACTGTGTATGTCTATTATTATACAAACCAAAAGTTTGATATATATTTTAGTGTTAATCACCACCAATATTAATATTTTTAGTAGATATAACAAAACAAGATACAGTTGGGTTTTATCTTATTTTATTTTGATCTTACTTAGGATCAGAAGTCTCAGGCATATTTGATAGGATCCATTGGTGTTAGTGGAAAAACCAAGTGGGATGTCTTAGATGGTGTAATTAGACGTCTCTTTAAGGTACGTTGTACAAGATATCCTAATACTAATTTTCAAATGTGTTTCATTTTGGATGCTTCCCTTAACTTTAATGGCATGTCCCTATCTGCTTTTCCTCTCCTGCATTTTAAATATTAAGGAAAGTTTTCTCTTTATGCTGTGTGATATTAATAGTTATTGTAGCACCCAATTCTAAAATTCTTGACAGCTAGTTTCACATCCCCATGAATTTTACACTGGTAGGAGAGTTGTACCTCTGTTTTGACTTTGCTCTTTGTATATACAATTTTAGGAATATGTGTTCAGAATTGATACCTCCACCAGCCTTGGTCTGAGCTCTGACTGCATTGCCAGCTACTGTGTAGGAGATTTAATTAGATCCCATAGCCTAGAAGTGCCTGAATTGCTGCCTTGTGGGTACCTTGTCGGTGATAACAACGTCATCACTGTGAACCTGAAAGGTAAAAATAAAAGTGGAAAAAAACCCACAATTGCATGTTTACCAATGTTTATTTTCCTTTTATTTTTGCGGTTTTACTTTAAATTTTCATATTTGAAAAGTAGGCCAACTACTTTAATAGTTTGGGTATGAAATGAACCATATTTATATTAAAAACACAAAAATCCAACTAAAAACAGAAAATCAAGTAAATTAAAGTCTTTGAGTTTTGAGATGTAATTTTGAAGATTCTAGAGGACTCACAGAGGAATGTGATGCGTCAAATTTCAAATTTCTAGGTTTTCTACATTATCCTCTTTGATTTAGGGGAGATTTCTAAAAGTTTATTGTGTATTCTAAAGTAATATATTCATCCCTATACCTTCAATTTTAAAATATATATACTCAACAAGGCTTCCCTGGTAGCTTAGATGGTAAAAAAAAATCTGCCTGCAATGCAGGAGGCCCAAGTTTGATCCCTNCTCTCCTTAATTCCTTGCCAAATATCACAATATATACCCTTTAAAAGTTTAAGTGATGGTGTAGCAGGGATGTACAATGAGAGCTAGAAGGAAGTAAAGAGAAGGAGAAAAGAGGAAGAAAGAGAGAGGAACTCACATTTATACATTTTATTTTAATTTTTATATTTATGCTTAACAAAACTACCACCTTCAAAGAGAAGGATGGTTCTTGATAGAATTCATAGTAATGCTTCCATTTCTCTGTGCAAAAGCATGAAGCAGGCAGGGGAGAGAGTCTCAGGAAAAGCAAATGGCTTGCTTTCATTCATATGTTCACTCTGCCTTATTACTGATGTTTTCTGTCTTGAAAAAGCAAGACACGTTTGTGAGACAGAAATGTCAAGGCGAGTCTCTTGCAAGCATTGTTGTTCCCATGGCCAACAAAGCCCAGTTGCCAGCTGACCTGTGTTTTAAAGTCTAGCTTATGCAGACCATAAGCCATTCTCTCCCCTTTGTTTCTCCCTGCAGGGGTAGAAGAAAACAGTTTGGACAGTTTTGTGTTTGATACTCTGATTCCTAAACCAATTACCCAAAGATACTTTAACTTGTTGATGGAGCATCACAGAATTATACTCTCAGGACCTAGTGGTACTGGAAAGACCTATTTAGCACACAAACTTGCGGAATATGTAATAACCAAATCTGGGAGGAAAAAAACAGAGGATGCAATTGCCACTTTTAATGTGGACCACAAGTCTAGTAAGGTAAGTTACAGACTCCTAAGACAACTGCTGCTATTTATCCGTAAGTGTATTACTCAGCTAAGCTTTAAGATTATATGAAACTTCCATATTGTGCATGGAAACGTGTCCATCTCATTGGCTAAGGCTAGAATCTGGAGAATGAATAAACCCTACTTTGTGAATTTGAATAAGACTACTCAGTGGCATTCAGTTATCTAGTACTTCACACACATTGGGAATTGACAGAAGAAAAGAACAAGGTCTCTATTGTCTAATTTCTCTTAGACATCCATTTAGGAAGTGTTAGAGCAAAAAGAGATCCATGTAAATACTATAGAAGCAAGAGGCCAGAACGCTTCCTGGAGGAATCAGAGCTTTACACAAGTCAGTATCTGCTCTGGGTCATAATAAACAAGGAATTAACTGGAATATTGCAGCAATGGAAATTTGGGTATAATTAAAATATTCTAAGCAGAAATTCTGGGAGCAGAAATTTGTTTACATCATATTCCTATAGGATTTCTGTGTAGGAACTTTAGGAAATTGAATAGTATTCCATTTCACCATCAACTAAGGTCTCAGACAGTTCAGTTCAGTTCAGTTGCTCAGTCATGTTCTTTGCAACCCCATGGACTGCAGCACTCCAGGCTTCGCTGTCCATCACCAACTTCCGGAGTTTACCCAAACTCATCTCCATTAAGTCGGTGCTGCCATCCAACCATGTCATCCTCTGTTGTCCCTTTCTCCTGCCACCTTCAATCTTTCCCAGCATCAGGGTCTTTTCCAATGAGTCAGTTATTGGCATTAGGTGGCCGAAGTATTGGAGTTTCAGCTTTAGCATCCGTCCTTCCAATGAATATTCAGGACTAATTTCCTTTAGGATGGACTGGTTGGATCTCCTTGCTGTCCAACGGACTCTCAAGACTCTTCTCCAACACCATAGTTCAAAAGCATCAATTCCTCATTGCTCAGCTTTCTTTATGGTCCAACTCTCACATGCATACATGACTACTGGAAAAACCATAGCTTTGACTAGAGAGACCTTTGCTGGCAAAGTAACATCTCTGCTTTTTAATATGCCATCTAGGTTGGTCATAGCTTTTCTTCCAAGGAGCAAGCATCTTTAAATTTAATGGCTACAGTCACCATCTGCAGTGATTTTGGANGCCTGGCTTGGAGAATTTTGAGCATTACTTTGCTAGTGTGTGAGATGAGTCTATACTAAGGTCTGGTATACCAGAATTATCATCCTGAACACTCTCAGCTCTTAAATAGTCATGAGGGGATATAAAATTCAGCCAGTACTTTCATATACTCCAAGCAAAATAAACAATTTTAAAAAGAAAATAGTTGATGCCTAACATATCTCTAACACGGCGCTAAACTTTTACTGATAGTTACTAATTACATTCTCAGTCAGCGCAGCCTGAGCTTCTCTTAGGAAACTGCATCTGTTATCAGCAATGCCTCGAAGTTACCCAGATGACACTGGGCTACTGTTTTTTTTTTTTTTCAAAAATGACCTGGTTAAATGATCTAAACTGACCCAGTCTCACAGTAACCTCCCTCCTACAAATATTTAGAAAATAAACATGACTCCCCAAAGCAGCCCAAAACCAGTAAATTCTTGAAAGATGTTTAATTTCTTGAACAAAAATGCCTGAATAGTTCATCAAGTTCATGACACTGACCAACTGTGGAACCTAGGGCTGATTCTTGAATTTCTTTGTGCCTCAGTTTTCCCAGCTATAAAATGGGGGAAATAGTGAAGTTGTGTTAAGGACTAAAGGAGTGACTATCTGAGAGAGAGAGAGAGAGAGAGAGAGAGAGAGAGAGAGAGACAGATAGAACCAGGGAAATAGAATAGTACACATAGCAAGCACTGTCTGAGGGTTGCCCACAGTTACTAATTATAGCTCTTGGCTCCAAGGAGTATTTCTTATACAAATACACACAGACCCACACAGACCATCCACCCCTGTGACACGCACAGACCTTTGTTCATATTGTCTTATATGTATTTTTCAAGGAGAACAGAGTTGTGTATAAGGCATGATGTTATCTCCTAATGTTGACTCAATAGAGCACATGCATTCTGACTACATCCTTGGAATTCAGCACTATTCAGATTGTTGACGAACCAAACAGTCTCATTTCAGGTAGAGAGACATGGCACGTGAGACGGAATATTAAACTCTTCTCTAAGTAAAAGCAGAAGACACAGTTGTTTGTTTGCTTCAGCCTACATGTTTAAAGCCCCCAGTGAATTCTGGGTCTCCTCATAGCTTTATTTAAAAGCTTTAACATATTTTGTTTCTTTTCAGCCAAAATGATAGAAGAATTGACATATCTTAACTACTCTGTGTTCTCTTTGATTTTTCCTTAATGTTAATGTGAAAGAACTCTTTAGAAGTTACCTCCTTTCTGAAAAAAAAAAGCAACTGGTTGGAAAGTAGGAGAAGAATAGATTTATTAGAGGAAATGGTACTCTGATAAAGTTGGAGAATCACTTAAAGTCAAATTGTGAGTCAAATTAACCGGCCTTCCTCAGGATATAATTTGACATGCTAAAATAAAGTAGGGTAACTTACATTAGTTCTAAATTTTGCCTCATTCCATAGTACACTGTTATATCTAAGTTATTTTTATTTCAGTTAAAAAATGTTTAGTGCTTGGAGATATTTTTAAGCAATAATAATTTATATCGCCTTTAAAATATGAGCAAATACAGCCAGCACTCTTATTTTCTAGTTTTTCTGAATAAAATCACTTGTGCCATTATGAGGTCAGTTTAATCTTTGTTATTATAAAGTAATAAAGCATAACAAAAGTGAACAGAATGAATGATGCTAGAAAACAGTTATAGGAAGAAATCCACAGACAAATCACATAGCATTCATCACCAAGAAAGTGCAAAATACAACTAACAAATGTTTATTATTTCTCTATGATTGTAAGATTTGAATGAGCTGCCAGTAATGCTGGATGCCAAGTCCTGGCCAGAGAATTTGGCCAGTTCTTGCCACAATGTTAGAGAATTCGCAGTTATTTTCAGGGAGTTGATGGTATGTGAGAGTGGTATAGGAGATGGGGATGGCAGGTTAGAATTGTGGGGGCACAGCTAAGTGTCGGTTTGCTAAAGTAAAGGGTGAATTAGGTGGGAGGTCAATGACTTCCCTGAGAGAGGTTCATAACTGCTGACATGCTTTGTGCTATGCCTCGGATATCTCTGAAGGGACAAAGGTGCAAAGTACTCACTGATTCCAAAAAAGTCCAACAATAAATCATCAAGTGAGAAAAAACCTATTCATGTTTTTGATGTCTCTGCATTTTACATTCTGTCCCACTTCCCTTTCTTCAAGCCCTCTCTTGAGCTGCCAGCTGGAATATTTTGATTGAAAGCAGGACACATAAACAATTACACTTTGTGACATTTGATATAGTGGGCCCAGAAGGCTAGAGATGGATTTAGTAAAGAATATGTGGCCAGCTGAAGCCATTTGGAATGTTAGGTGGGAAAAGATCAGAAAGCTGGACTTGGCAGATTCATTTTGAGTGTGTCTGGAGTCAAAATGAGGGAGAGCAGTGATCAGTAGTTTATATGCAACTGCTGTGTTCTGTGTATGTTTTCAAAGTATGGGATTCATCTCATTATCAATATCCATCTGGTAGATATACCTGGTTTTTTTTTTCTGCCTTATTAGGTCTTGGACATGAAACTCCTAATGCTAATTCATCAATACTTCAATCTAAGATTTTACCCCAGTTAAGCTAGGGTGAAGATCATGAAGGGGTTTAAAAATGGGGTTTAAAAAAAAAAAAAACTCAATTTATATGACTGAATTATTTGTATTTGCCTATTTCTACTTCTGACTGGCCCATACCTTTTATTAGATTCCCAAGGGAATCAGCTACCAGTCTCAAGACAAAAGAGAACCGTAATAGAATCTTAGAGCCCTATTTTTTCAGAAATCACCCAGTGATTTCTTATTTACCAAATCCAAGTCAAGCTACTCCACCTCCCTTTCCTCCTCTCCCCTCGCCTACCTCCTCCTTTCTCTCTTTTGATTTATGTATATCAGATTACTATAATTGATCCCCCTTTCTAGAAATTGTTCTCATTTTCATGATTATGGAATTCACTCCTTGTTTCCCTCCTACCTTCTAGCAAGCTCCTTCTTAGTGTCATCCACTGACTGTTTTTCCTTCACCTTCCAGTGAATGAAAATATTCCTCACCATTCTCCTCTCCCCCACACCCGTCCTTATCTGGATAGCTCCCTTGTTCGAACTTAATAGTGTCCAGTTGGACACTATTAGCCACTATTAGACTATGGAAGCCATAGTCTTCCATATGGTAGATTCTTCTGTTAGCTTACAGATAAGTTTCCATTAGTATAGTAAATATGCATGTTTAGAAATGCCAATTTCAACTCTGAAAATGTATCACAAATGCATCTTCTTCTATCCATCTCTGCTGCCACCACCCTGCCAACCAAATGAACACTCTATCACTTGCCGGGGCTACTGCAGTTGCTTACTAACTGCTTGATTTACAGCTCCATTAAATTCCAGTTCTCTCTCTCTGTCTCTTTTTCCTTTCACATCGTGGAAATAGAATGTCTTTTCATAATTAAAAGCTGACCACTTTAAAATCCAGCAGTGACTCCCCATTGCCGTCTGCTCTAGGTCAAAAATCTTCCCATACCTCTGTTATTCCTCTTGAGTCCCACAGTGTGTCTTGGCTTCAGCAATTTCGGTATTGTCTTGGCTGATTTCTCTTCTTCCTTTACAATATACTTGTTGTTCAGTTGCCCAGTTGTGTCTGACTCTTTGTGACCCCATGGACTGCAGCAGGCCAGGCCTCCCTGTCCCTCACCATCTCCTGAAGTTTGCCCAAGTTCATGTCCCTTGTATCAGTAATGATGCCACCCAAAAATCTCACCCTCTGATGCCCTCTTCTCCTTCTGCCCTCCATCTCTCCCAGCATCAGGGACTTTTCCAATGAGTCAGCTGTTCACATCAGATGACCAAAATACTGGAATTTCAGTTCAGCATCAGTCCTTCCAACGAATATTCAGGGTTGATTCCCCTTAAGATTGATGGTTTGATCTCCTTGCTGTCTAGGGGACTCTCAGGAGTCTTCTCCAGCACCACAGTTCAGAGGCATCTGTTCTTCACCTCCCCACCTTCTTGATGGTCCAACTCTCACAACTGTACATGACCACTGGGAAGACCATTGCCTTGACTATATGGACCTTTGTTGACAGAGTAATGTTTCTGCTTTTCAACACACTGTCTAGGTTTGTCATAACTTTCCTGCCAAGAAGCAAACATCTGATTTCATGGCTGCAGTCACCATTCGAAGTGATTTTAGGACCCCAGAAGAGGAAATATGACACTACTTCCACCTTTTCCTCCTCTATTTACCATGAAATAATGGGGCTGGATGCCATGATCTTGGTTTTTTTCTTAGTATTTAGTTTTAAACTGGCTCTTTCACTCTCTTCCTTCACCCTCATCAAGAGGCTCTTTAGTTCCTGTTTGCCTGTTCCTTTCTGCCATTAGGGTGGTATCATCCACATATCTAAGGTTGTGGCTGTTTCTCCCACCTATGTTGATTCCAGCTGGTAACTCATCCAGCCCACCTTTTCTCATGATGTGCTCAGAGTATAGAGTTAAACAATATATTTACCTCACTTCAAAATCATGATTCTGGCTACATTACGCAGATCTCCAAAATAGTCAATGTTCCTTCACTGTCAGTAGGAAAAGTTCAGTAGTCTTACCAATCATTCAAAGTTGCAAACTTTTCTTTCCAATTTATTTACAACTCTTTCACCAAACATATACTACTGGTTCTTTCCTACGTGGAGCTCATATTTTTGTGTTTTGCCTTTATCTCTATGTGGAAAGCTAGTCTTCCATTTTTAAGCATCAAAATATTGCCTAACCTTTAGAATAAAAAGTTAATAGCAAATAATACTGCCATCAGAAAGTCTTTCCCAGAAGCCACAAGTAACCTTTATATGCAGTGAACAAAATCTTTGTTGTATACTCTTTTGAGGTAATGTATTATTTTCCACTGTGAATTGTAGTTATCTGCATATTGTATGTGCCTAACCTACTCAAGGCAGTAAGCATCTTGATTGGTTTTTCCATTTCTAATTTATCATCCTGTCCTTCAAGCATCTCCATTAAAAGACACTTGCTCCTTGCAAGTAAAGCTATGACACCTACACAGCATATTAAGAAGCAGAGACATTACTTTACTAACAAAGGTCCATATAGTCAAAGCTATGGTTTTTCCAGTAGTCATGTATGGATGTGAGAGTTGTACCATAAAGAAAGCTGAGCGCCGAAAAATTGATGCTTTTGAACTGTGGTGTTGAAGAAGACTCTTGAGAGTCCCTTGGACTGCCAGGAGATCAAACCAGTCAATCCTAAAGGAAATCAACATTGAATATTCATTGGAAGAATTGATGCTGAAACTGAAGCTCCAGTACTTTGGCCACCTGATGCTAAGAGCTGACTTATTAGAAAAAATCCTGGTGATGGAAAAGATTGAAGGCAGGAAGAGAAGGGGACAGCAGAGAATGAGATGATTAGATGGCATCACCGATTCAATGGACACAAGTTCGAGCGAGTTCTGAGAGTTGGTGAAGAACAGGGGAGCCCGGTGTGCTACAGTCCACGGGGTCGCAGAGAGGCAGACACGACTGAGCTACTGAACAATGACAAATCCTTCATATGTGTGTTTTCTTTGATTAATTCTCTACCCTTGGCAAAACAGCAGCAGCATATGAATGGTGTTTGTGTTTATATAGTAAAATCCAAATTTCTCTGCATGGATTCAGTCTTTTCTGTTTCCTCTTGTTGATCACTGCTACCATGTGCCATTTTCTGCAAAGGCGGAGCACCAGTATTTCTCCAAACACATCACACACTCATATCTTCCAGCTCTTCTGCTTTACTCCTTATTCTTCAGTTATACCTCCCACCCCCATAGCCTGTTTCTCTGAACCTTAAATCTGAAGTAGATACCTCTCTTTAGTTTTTCTATCGTGCTTTGTGCATTTCACTTATCACACTGCACGGTGATTTACTTGTTGGCCTGCCCTTTTGTCTGTCAACTCTAACGCCTGGAATGTAGAAGTAAGCTCTAAATCCTTGATGCCAGAGTACCTGGCACAAAGTAGGCACTTGCTAAATCTGTGTTGAAAGAACAAAAAACTACATACTTATCATTTGGAATTCTATTCATTATTTTCAAAATCCATCATGAAATTGATTTTAACTCTGCTCAAGATTTACAAATTGAAAATGTCATTGTAAATATGCAAATATTATGGAAATGCTCTTACTGATTAGGATAATTCTAAGAAACCTAATTATGTTTCTGGCCTACCCATCTGTGACAGCAATCAGTGAACTGGTTATCATATTTAGATTGAAAGCTATTAGAAAGGAAAAATACCTGTAAAGAACCAAGAAACTTAATAAATGCTAAATGCTAATGTCAAGTGACCCAATGAAATATAACAACTTTTGTCATTGTTTTAAACTACAACAGTTGCATGCAGATAACAAATAAGTCAATCAAACAACCAACCAACCACAGTTTTATTTGAGTCCCAGGGCTCTATTTTCAGATGCACCTCATCAAAATGATTAAGACGTTTAGAGACTAAGTGGAAATTTAGGGATATCATTTTGGATTTAGTCTATACCTCAAATTATAAGGCTTGCTAAAATCCATTTTTATAATTATATCAAAAGTAAGAATGGAGTCTCAATATTTATGGTTTACCGTAAGAGCTCATATCAAGAATTCTTTTTTTTTTTTTTTGCCTTTCTTCCTGGGAGAGAACAACTGAGAAATATGTCCTTGTGTTTACAGTTTTATATTGGCTTCAGATGTTCTGTACTGGCTTTTCTCTTTCCTTTAAAAATGTACACTTTCAACAGTATATGTGTTTTGCTTTGTAGAATAAGATTTTATATCAATGGAATGATCTATGAGTTTTAATCACAGAAATCAGATGGAAGACAAAATGCACTATTCCTAAAATATGAATTGCTTACCATTAGTATGAATTTATCATTGATGTGTTTGTTTTCTTTATTTTTTAAAGGAATTGCAACAGTATCTAGCTAACCTGGCTGAACAATGCAGTGCTGATAATAATGGTGCAGAGCTTCCAGTTGTAATAATTCTAGATAATCTTCATCATGTGGGCTCTTTGAGTGATATCTTCAATGGTTTTCTCAACTGTAAATACAATAAATGGTATGCTTGAAGTATTTTGAATGATCAAGTTTGAAAAATGGTGATCAAATTTGCATTCTTGTGCCTTTATTCCTTTTAAGAACTATAGTGGATGCCATTCGGAGAAGGCAGTGGCAGCCCACTCCAGTACTCTTGCCTGGGACATCCCATGAACAGAGGAGCCTGGTAGGCTGCAGTCCATGGGGTTGCGAAGAGTGGGACAAGACTGAACGACTTCACTTTCACTTTCATGCATTGGAGAAGGAAATGGCAACCCACTCCAGTGTTCTTGCCTGGAGAATCCCAGGGACGGGGGAGCCTGATGGGCTGCCGTCTATGGGGTCGCACAGAGTCGGACACGACTGAAGCGACTTAGCAGCAGCAGCAGCAGTGGATGCCATTAATTTGAGAAGCCTCCATTACTATTATACCATGTTTACAAAGAATTTCTGTGTATCCCTTATAACGTCTATTTATTCATTCAACAACTGTGTCCCAGGTGCTTTTTAGCAATAGTATTTACTTGATGATATTAACTTCTACATGTATGATAAAAGTCTGGAAGACTATTGTCAATAAGAGAATGTTTGAATCAGAAATATTAAGAACTAGAACGAGGCTATGTGATGTGATATGAAAGTCGCTCAGTTATGTCCAACTCTTTGTGACACCATGGACTATACAGTCCATGGAATTCTCCAGGCCAGAATACTGGAGTGGGTAGCCTTTCCCTTCTCCAGGATATCTTCCCAATCCAGGGATCAAACCCAGGTTTCCCACATTGCAGGTGGATTCTTTACCAGCCGAGCCACAAGGGAAGTCCTATTATTGACTATTATCAATAACAGAATGTTTGAATCAGGGAAATTAAGAACTAGAACAAGGCTATAGAACTGTTTCATTTTTAGTCCATAGTAAAGTTTAAATTCAACCTTCCTATAGAAGCAAATTTATTACATTCAGATATACCTTTGTCCTTAGTGATTCTAATGTTTAACTATTTACATGAGATAAAAGGTTAAAGTAGGGTATAAAAAAATCTGAAAAGATTTTTAAGATTCACTGTAGTATGATCTCTAAAAAAGAACATAAGAACAACTGCATAAATGTTAGTTTCAGTGGTGCAAGTATCCCAGTTATCTCTGCTAGAAATATGAAATAATAAAGGAAAAATTAATGAATTGGATTATAAGCAAAAGAATCATAAGATGTTAGGGTGGGGTGAGATCCCTATGATTATTCTGTCTAATCTCTTTATTTTATATATGAGTAAACATGGGATTAGAGAGGGAAAATGATTAAAATGATTTGCCTAGGATGCCAGAGCTGAAATTGGGACCCCAAATCTTAATTCTACTTCAGTGATCTTTGTCATTTTCCAACATAACATTATAAAATTACCCTTTTACAGCATAATGTTAAAATGGAAGAATACATGTTTATCCAAATTATTTTCTGAGACAATTTTAATGTATTAATATATTTTACCTTTAATGCATATACATTTTCTTTTCTTCCCCAGTCCATATATTATTGGAACAATGAATCAGGGAGTTTCTTCATCACCAAATCTAGAGCTACATCACAATTTCAGGTAAAAATAAGTTGGAATTATTTGTATTGTCTCTTTTCTGTTTGCTTTTGGTGGTTGTTTTTTTCCATTTGTACACTGACGAATCGGTAACCTGGGGTGTGGAAATAATTCTCACTTCTTCTGACACTCTTTCTCAAGCAGACATTTTGTGATCCCTGACCTATAATCAGAAGTGTTTCTTTAAAAAAGAAGAAAAAAGAAATGTTTTTCCTGCTCACTGTGTCACAGCTAAAGTGGAGCACTTTTCTTCTAAATGTGAGAAATGTGAAGAGAGCTCCTATTTCAGGATTTGTGATTCTCCTACAGAAGAGTGCTCAGCGTGCACACTCCCACACACTGCTGTGACGCACATGAGCTTCTCTTTAGCTCAGAAAGAAAAGTTACATACAGTTCAGCTCTAATGTTAATAGACTGTCTCATCTCTTTGATCATTAACATATGGCCTCCAACTGAAATAGGAACATTATTACTTTATATTGGAGAGAGAATCACTGTGGACTTAAAGTTTAATTTATGTAAGGATTTCTGGGTTTTGGTTTTGATTGTTTTTTTTTTTTTCTTTTTATAGGTGGGTACTATGTGCAAACCACACAGAGCCAGTGAAAGGCTTTTTAGGCAGATATCTTCGAAGGAAGCTGATAGAGATGGAAATTGAAAGGAACATTCGCAATAATGACCTAGTCAAAATTATAGATTGGATTCCCAAGACGTGGCATCATCTCAACAGTTTTTTGGAAACACACAGTTCTTCTGATGTTACAATTGGTGAGTTGCAAAATTGCAATATGCCATTTTCCAGGAACTAAGAGTACTTGGTAAAGATAGCCAGATTGGAAGTAGAAAATAACAACTGAAGCTAATGTTTTTGAAGCTTCCAAAAATTTAAGTTTTCATTTTTTTTTTCCTTCTGAAAGTTTGCCTTCAAGCTTTGTGTCCTTTCATCTGACTATTACAGTTTACTGAGGCTTCCCAGGTGGCACTACTGGTAAAGAACCTGCCTACCAATGCAGGAGACATAACAGATGTGGTTTCAGTCCCGGGCATGGGAAGATCCCCTGGAGGAGGGCATGGCAACCCACTCCAGTATCCTTTCCTGGAAAATCCCATGGACAAAGGAGCCTGGAAGACTAAAGTTCTTAGGGTTGCAAAGAGTCAGACATGACTGAAAAGACTTAGCATGCATACAAGCATGAAACTTTGCTAACATCAACTAATGTAGACAACTATATTAGTTTAATATAGACAACTAAAAGTCAGGTAGCCATGTGAAACAAATTATATCTTTTTAGAGTATCATTTTTATGCTAAAAACAAATTTTAGCTTATAGCTCATATCAATTACAGTTATGAGAGAAGATTTTATTTTAAGATAATTTAGGTGTTTTATATTTTCATGAAGATAAAATTGTTTATTTCTCTTAAGTTGGCATGAAGATGTTTATTTTTGTATTCCTTCTTAATTTGCACATAAAAAAGTCCCCTTTTCCTTGCTGTGGATCAGAAAGATATGCTCACTAAAGGCACAGTGTAGAAAGAATTAAGACAATTTTACAATTGGGATCAGAAGACCACAGCAGAGGCCCACTTCTGGCAAATAATGACATATTTTATATTTGACAATTCATTCCATCATAGTTTTGTCATTTGTAAAATGGAGCAGATTGACTGGATTATGACCTTTAAGGTTTTTCCTAATACTAAAGTGTTATGTGTTAGACTAAGATTTTAGTGTAAAAATAAAGGAGGGTCCTGAAGATGCATCTTCAGTAAAACACTGATAATAATTAAGCTGACCACGATGATAATTTTCTAAGAATCCTGTAAGAAGCATATTAATTCCCCCAGAACAGTGTCTAAATATGTGTTTAGATTGCTAAATACAGGGATTCTCAAAAATGGCTTGTCATTTCTTACTTCTCAGGCCCTCGACTTTTCCTTCCTTGTCCCATGGATGTAGAAGGTTCTAGAGTATGGTTCATGGATCTCTGGAACTATTCTTTGGTACCTTATATTCTGGAGGCAGTGAGAGAAGGTCTGCAGGTATAGTACTCAATTTTCTTAAATGTTTTAAAAAACCAAATGGAAAAAAAAAATCATCCTTTAAAAGCAAAAAAACCAAAAAATCATTTTTCCGATTTGTGCAGAAAAATAAAGGCAGCTTGAAAGAACAAATAGTTTCTAATACATTTTTTTCTGAGAATAAATATGTAGGAGAAAGAATTCCAACAAGAACACATCGAAGGCCAAATTTATTACCATCAGTATTTACAAACTATTCTTATTATATAGCTTGTTAATTGCACAGTTCTGCATCTTATAAAACAGGCATGTTTATATGGACCTTGGTCATTTGTTCTCTTCTTCCTTTCTTTTTTTTTTACTATGCCACAAAGCATGCAAGACCTTCCCTGACTAGGGATGAAACCCATTCTACCTGCAGTGGAAGCACTGGATCTCTAGGAAATTCCCCATTTATTCTCTTATATAATCTGTAGCAAGTAGTTTGTGCTTATATTAATAGATTCTCTGCTTTAGGACGTTTCATTGTTTGAAGCCCTTTAACATCCCTTGCAAAATCCCTTTCTGTTTTTAAAAGTGCTCTAAATCTAAGGCATTTGATTTTTAAAAACTGTGACAGGTTGGTTTAGCAGCATCTCTGCCCCTCCCTCCTCTACCTTACATCACAAGGCCCTGCAACCACCCCTTCTATTTACTCTTAACTAAGAAATCAAAATATATCACTAATAAGAAAACCCTTTTTCAACAAAATATATCATCCCTTTTCCATAAGTCTTGATTTTTTTCCTTATCTTGTGTGAATTTTTTTAAGATTCGTGTTGTATAATCACCAAACTTGTGGCAGAAAAATCCAGTCATCTTTACAATAACTCAGCCAAGGTTTAGGCAGTTTTTGCTTTTCTCTATTTCTCAGTTTTAGGCATCTCTATTTCTGGTTATCACAAGTGCTGCTAGAATTAAGATATACTTCATGTTTTTCACATTTTGTCATCTGCAGTTCTGTGTTAAGTCTTTATTTCATTGTCTAAAAAAAATTCGTTGTCTGTTTTCCTTCATTTCACTTCCTTTCACTTCCTTATGCTTTCCTCACCTTCTAGAAGGGCATGGCAGTGATTTAGAACTAACAGGATGGTGAATGTGATGAATATTATGAGGATGTTCTGAATGTACAGAGGTAATGATCCTAGGGAATGCTATCAACTGGTTCTACCTCAGATTTAAATAACTCAGTTTCATATTTTTAATGGTATGAGCCAAACCAGCCTGAGGAAATGTCTCCAACAAAGTTAAAGACTGTGCCAAAAGTTTTTATTTCCAAGTATAACATAGCACATGTCAAGATTCCTCTAAAACTATTATGCTATCTCAGAAGTGAGTTGGGTCTCTTGGTTTCAGTTATTTGTTCGAAAAGCATCGTATATTTGTATGAAAATGTATTTAAAATATTCATGAGGTCATGATTTTTAAATTAATATTTAAATTAATTATGTGTTCCTCTAGATACTATTTCAGCATTAGTAAACTATTATCCAAATCTTTATATATTAAAATTTCCTTATTTTGTATTCATTTGCTAATATATTTGCTATATATAAGAATTAGAAGGGTTTTAAAAACTCAAAAACAGTAATAGCTAAAAATCCTTAAATCTCATTTTTTAGAAGTATGTAGCATTTTCAATGTTAAAATCATTATTTATAAAGCACCATCCTGAGGATTACCATTCTATAGAAGTTCCCTTTAAATAAGTCATAATCACTGAGATAATACCAGTTCCCCAAGCTAAGAGATACTCCAAAAAAGTTTTTCTTTTGAGGAGGAATAAAAATATCTCAAGTTTTCTACTGTGGTTCTGGATGTTTGTTAATAGGTTAGAGTGAAAGTTGGATCAATCACATCATAGGGAGTAACTGAGGCTTGGGGGGAACAGAGGTGACAGGAGGCAGATACAGCACTTTGAGAAAAAAAGGAAAACCCTTTGGTGAGTAGAGAGTTATCATCACTACTGAAGGATATGCTGGACTGGAAGACTGTTGGCAGATGATGTTCTTGGAATGGTCCATATATGACTTCTGGAGGAACAGGAAGAAGAGAAATCACATGTCATGGACCATTTTCTTGGATCTACTGGCAACAGAGAACTATGAACTGGAACAAGAGGTGGAAAAATAAAGCATGGTTGCAAAGATGAAAATCTGAGTTGAGAGGAATAGAATACTTTCTCTTCAAATAAAGGCTGATGCTTTGGTGGGGAACCGTATGGCAAATACTCTTTTCCAGATGTTCTAGTTCGAAAAAACACTGTGGTGCACTTGATTCTGATTTTTACTCTGATGATTCTTTCTTGAAATGTCAGCAATCAGATCATCTCCTTCTGAATATTTAAATGTCTCTTCTTTCATTTCTTTTTCTATAACATCTACTTTACTCTGAAATACAGCATTGCGCCTATTTACCTTTTTATTGGTCACTCCCAATTTTGCTGTCCATGATAATTCTGGACATCATCAATTGATTCTGCTAGACTTTCATATTCTTTTTGCAATGTTTCTGTTCCAAGATTTATATATTTTCCCTCAATTAACTTAAGTTGTGTAGCAAGTTGTATAGCAATCTATGTAGATTTTTAACTGAGACAATTTCTACTCCAAAATAATAGATTAAAAAAAAAACAAAGCTAATTACTACCCCTACTGTTATCCCCTAGATGTACAGATATCAAGACCTGAACTTTTTTCCCTTAAGGCAAGCCTGCCACAACCCCAGGCAACTTCCCCAGGAGAAACAAAAGACAGTTCCAAGCAGACGGTGGGCCTTTCATGGCCTCCGCATCCGCCATTTTGTTTTTGTCTCACGGAAGCACAGCAAACCAGGTGAAACGCTTCACGCTGGTATTCGGTGCCGTCTGGGACCAAATATACGCCTAGTAACTAGGATCGCCCTCAGTAGAGTAGGAAAGTCCGTCAAAGAACTAGTGTACCTATGTAACTGCCCTCTACTCTTAATTTTAACCTTTCTTTCTATGCCTCTGTGGTTTCTACTTTTTTTTTTTCCCCCAAGCCCACCAACCTCTGTCTCTTCAGTGTGCTGTTTCTAGTTTGGTTTTGGCTTTGCTTCCAGTTTAAAAAAATTTTTTTAACACCGCTTGTGTTCATCTGCCCTCTACTCCACTACCCATATTTTAACCGGGCTTTATAATTTCTTTCTTATCAACTTTCTTCCTCCAGAGGAGTTCTGACAAAGTGTTCATTTCCCATAAGTTTCCTCTGTACTAGTGGTCTTACAAACAAATGTCTCAAAGAAGCTTTAATAGGAAGCAGTGAGATTATAGAGGAAATTAATCTGATGGAAATGGTTGTCAGGGAAAGGATGGTTATTTTCAAGGAAAATCTGAGTAGAATGAAGTAGAGAAAAGAAATCTCTTTTATTCATCATCTTTCCAAAGTATACTTTAGTAAATAAAGGTATTTAGTGTCTAGCATGAATCTTTTTATTTCTCTATTACTGGAACTTTCCTTTCTCAATGTTGAGCTTTCATTTATTTTGTAAAATTGCTAACAAAGATAGATGTGGGTAGTCATTCTTCATGTATTTAAAATAAACCTCCCTCATGCTCTCCCCCAAATGCTGACCATTTATTCTAGATGTTCAGATTTATTTTGTCTAGCCTTCAAGTTTAAAGTGAACTCTATAGACAGACAGTTTAAAATCTGGAAAATAGCATATGCACACCTCATTCCCCTGAAAGTCCCATAGGGACTCAGTGAGCCGTTAGTAAGTCACCTCCGTACTGAACAGGGATGCAGGGAATTCCCTGGTGGTTCAGTGGTTAGGACCCCAGGCTTTCACTGCTGAGGGCCTGAGTTCAATCCCTGTTCTGGGAACTAAGATTCTGCAAGTTGCATGGCAAAAAAAAAAAAAAAGAAATTCATTTTATATGTGCTAAATATGTGATCACTTTTTAGATGTATGGAAAACGAGCACCTTGGGAAGATCCCTCCAAGTGGGTGCTTGATACATACCCATGGAGCTCAGCATCTCTGCCTCAGGAAGGCCCAGCATTACTTCAGTTGCGACCAGAAGATGTTGGGTATGAGGGCTGTGTATCCACGAAGGAAGCTACAACCTCAAAGCACATTCCACAGACTGACACAGAGGGGGACCCCCTGGTGAGAAGCTGATGTTTGATTCTTCCTATCTGATCTTGACCACAGTGTGTAGTCACTAGTATGTAGTCATTTGCATCAGAGACATTAATTCGTTTTCCTGGGTAATATTTGAGATTGTCCTGATGTTGGTACTAAGTTTTCAAATTTTTACCTTTGGCCTACTTTCATTGGGTGAAACTCTTAAAACAAAAGACCAAACTTGTATACTTAAAAATAATCAAAAACACTTAAACCAGGCTGAACTCTGAGGCCATAATTTTTCTTTTACTAAGCAGAAAATTATATAAATAAATAAACTTCAAACATGGTGGGACTCAATTCATTAGGTATCTAAGAAAAAGCTGAATTTTGTTCTAAAATGACAAAAAAGAATATAATCTATACTTTAAGAACTAAAGAATATTTTACATGTATCAATTTTATATTTTACATGTAAAATTTAGTCTAACTAAATTTAGGATTAGAACTCCATTGCCAACAGTAGAGAAGAATGAACTGACTTGGGAATCAGAGGGTCATTATTCCCTGCCTTACTCAGATTGCATTCTTGGAAGTCATACTATAAGTCAATAAAACCCAGAAGCATGAATACTCTGGAAATACTAAGTACATGCTGTTCTTAGTAAAATAACTTTATTTTCATATGTATTTTTTATTTTTAAAGATGACTTTCCATAAATCTGTCTCAAATGTAATGTGTTTGTTAGCTTACTATTCTAGCTAAAGAAATCACTGAATAACCAATACAATAAGAAGACATTCTGAGATAAAGGTCCTTATGTTACTTAAACAGAAAAGGAAATGATTAAATCAAAGTCTGTAACCATGCCAAAAGACGTAAAATTATGACTTGATACTTTGTGGAATATCCTTACACTAATAACCACAACACATATACATCATCGTCATTTCAGTTGACCATTTTGAACATCTTGGAATTTACATGTGAACCATCTGATAAAGTTTCATGATTTTTTTTTCCTGATAAAATGCATGCACACAGAAGATTTTCCATACTATTTCAAAAAGTTCCATAAAGTCACAAGAAATATACATTGACCTACTTAGAGCCCAGGGATCTCTTATTTAGGACATTTAATCTAAACTATAAATTTCTTGAGGCTTCCCTTGTAGCTCAGCTGGTAAAGAATCCCCATGCAATGCAGGAAACCCCACTTCAATTTCTGGGTCAGGAAAATCCAGTCAAGAACGGATAGTCTACCCACTCCAGTATTCTTGGCTTCCCTGGTGTAGTCATACACCAGGTGTATGTGGTAAAGGTGTATGTAGTCATACACCTGGTGCAGGTGGTAAAGAATCCACCTGCAATGTGGGAGACCTGGGTTCTATCCCTGGGTTGGGAAGATCCCTTGGAGAAGGGAAAGGCTACCCACTCCAGGCCCATTCTGGCCTGGAGAATTCCATGGACTCTATCCATGGGCTTCCAAAGAGTTGGACATGACTAAGCAACTTTCACTTTCATAAACTTCTTGAGGACCTGAACTCACATTTTTATAACAAGTGTCTGGCCCTTTAGCTCATACATAGCTAAATAACTAAACAACAGTGGTGGCGAAATTGGTTTGAATTCCACAAAACTGTGACTGTACACCAAGCAATTCCTGATCAGTTCAGTCGCTCAGTCATATCCGACTCTTTGTTATGGACTGCAGCACGCCAGGCCTCCCTGTCCATCACCAACTCCCAGAGTTTACTCAAACTCATGTCCATTGAGTCAGTGATGCCATCCAACCATCTCATCCTCTGTCATCCCCTTTTCCTCCCACCTATAGACTTTCCTATCATCAGGGTCTTTTCACATGGGTCAGTTCTTCGTATCAGGTGGCTAAAGTATTGGAGTTTCAGCTTCAGCATCAGTCCTTCCAATGAATATTCAGGACTCATTTCTGTTAGGATGGACTGGCTGGATCTCCTTGCTGTCCAAGGGACTCTCAAGAGTCTTCTCCAACACCACAGTTCAAAAGCATCAGTTCTTTGGCTCTCAGCTTTCTTTATAGTCCAACTCTCACATTCATATGTAATAGAGAAAAAATAAGCCTTAAAGTACAAATATGGGTTATTTCTTCTGAATTTTTTATAATTTCCAGTTCTCTCTTTGCAGTTTCTCATACAGTTCCTGATAAAGGTAAGGTGTTTATAAGGTTTGTTTTCAGGGTTATTCTATAGAGTATGGGATGTTTAGGAGATGTCCCAAATTTTCCCAGTTCACACAGTCCTGGTGAGCTAAACCCATTAATCATTCTTTTCCCTGACTCCAGATGTCTTATCTTCTACTTTAGAAAAGGGATCAGAATGTCTAACATTCTGAATGAGAATTTGGTTTAAAAAAAAAATCTCCAGTTCCTAACCTTCTGCTTCACTCAACATCTTAAAGAACAAGGGGTTATGATGTTTGACATATTAAATAACAAAAACTTCTCATCTAAATATCTGTGAATCAGGCACATTCTGATTGGGAAGTATCTCTCTGTGTTTATTGCTCAATATTTTTATGACTGACATAAGTTAAAAACATATTTGCAGTCCAATCTAAATCAGAAGTACTCAGAGAAAACCTGATTGTCAGTAGTATATTTTTGACCCTGAACAAGGATGTAAGTTTTTGGTACATCTCACAGTATTTAAAAATATAATGTGTATTCATCATCAACAGACTCATTTATTCAGTAAATATTAGTAAATAATAAGTATGTACTCAGGGCTAAATCCTGGTGATCATAAAATCAATATCATTGCTGACATTAAGAAGCTCATAGTCCAGACATGGAGAAAGATATCTACATATATAAATTACAGTGCAATAATGATAGAAGTATATTCTAGGTAGTTGTAAGTCTGTTGAGGAAGTGGTTAGGATAAAGCTCCTCAGAGGAGGAGAGGCTTGAGGTAGGTCTGGAAGGATGAATAAAAGTTCATGAATGAATAATGAGGTTGGATAGAGATGATCCAAAATCTAAAAAACAGCAAGTGAAACATGATGAAACAGTACAATAAAAATAATGAGTTTAGGGAGCTGTATACAAATTTGTGGAATTAGAATAGAAGGGACAGAAAGAATTAAAGCTACAGAAGTCTATAATTGATATGTCATGTGAAGCCTTGTTTATCTTGTAGGAAGTTAAATTTTTACCACACAGAAAATGGGGAGCCACCAAAGATTTTTGGGCAAAGGACTTATTAGATTTTCAGATCACCTTGGTAATAGAATAGAGGGCAGGCTAAAGGAAAGAGGATGGATGCTGGAAGACGGGCCTGTGTGTAAATACCAGGGATGATAAGGACCTGACCTGGGTGTTACAAATGACAGGCACTGTGTTTATGACTGTGGGTCTGGGAAAGGAGCAGAGGAAAAGAGCACAAGGTAATACTTGTGTAGAGAATAATGGTCCACCCTGGTTATACCCAGTCAGACACTGACTGACGTGAACCTTACCTACCTCCTTTGACTCGAATGTACAAAGCAGCCCTCTGAGAAGACGCAGTAAATCCTTTGTATGCATTTACCATGAATCTGAGGCTTTGAACTTATTTTAATGGAACATATTGACTATATGGCACCATTTTCAAAACCTAAGACTTTAATGATACTATTATTATACCATAAAACTTTTATAACAGTCAGCTTTCAAGTGATTTCAAATATTTGTAACGAAACTGAGATCGAAGCATAAACTTGAAAGCATTTCTATTCTTGAAAGGTGCTCAAAACAAAATTTTTTTTTTTAACAAATTATCTTCACCCAGTTGCTTGAACATACAGCCAGCTACTTATAAGGGAGGGACTAACAAAAGAAAGGAAAAAGGGAATGTGAATGTGCATGAAGGTAGGAGTGTGTGTGTGTGTTCAAGAGAGACAGAGAAGGGGAGGGAGAAAGAGAAACACTACATTGATGGAGATATTTAGCTTTTTGACTCACTGGGTTTAAGAGGTTATCACCAACTACTTTCATATGTTTATGTAGCTAGTTAATAAATTCAGGGAATTAGAAAATCGTGTTGAAAAATATTGTCCTAAAAATATAAAAATGACTTTAAAATACGCTCTACCTATAGCTTCTCTGTCAGAAAGGCATTCTTGCTGGAATTGGTAATTACCACTGTGTCATTTTGGAGAAGGAAATGGCAACCCACCCCAGTGTTCTTGCCTGGAGAAGCCCAGGGACGGGGGAGCCTGGTGGGCTGCCGTCTATGGGGTCGCACAGAGGCGGACACGACTGAAGCGACTTAGCAGCAGCCACAGCAGTGTGTCATTTTATTTCACAAACTTTTTTTTTTTTAAATTAAACACACATTTCACACTGAATATATCAGCAAACAGAGCTTGACATATGACTAAGGAATCCTTTTGGATCAATCCTTTCTATTGGATCAGTTTCCCTAAATTTTAAATTGGGGGAAAAAAAGAACATCTTTGATTACATAATAAATAGTAACATTAGCATGCATTAAACAATATAAAGATTATTACCATTTACAGAAACTCTTGATAAGAAAACAAGTCCATACCCTCCCGAAGATGTACCAATTTTTCTGTGCTTTCTAAAACTGTCACATCATTTCTTCACAGTTTGCTTTTGAACACTATTTCTTTATGCATCTCTACCAGTGAATCTGCACATCTCTCAAAATCCAAGCAAAGTAGCTGCCTTTTATTTTCTAATACCCGGAAACACTAGCTGCCTTTCTCCCCAGCTGCTTTCCTGCCCATGTCCCTTTTATGAGCACAAACATTGCCATTGTCCTAGAAGGCAGGGCAGCGTGAGACAGCTGTTCTTCTTCCAGAAGGTGGTTTGTGTGTGTGTGTGAGATACCCATCATATTTTAGCCAGGCGCTCAATAGCCGCAGAAGCTTGACGGTGATTCTTCCCTTTGGCCTCTTCAAATGCTCATGGTCAGCTTCATTCGGTCGCCTCCCCTCGAGGTCCACGCTTAAGCAGCAGATGGGGGGCTTGTAGGAAGCAGCTGGTCCATTCTCCTGCAGCCCCGCCTCCTCTGCGGGGCCCTGAGCGGACGCCCGTGTGCCCGTCGGCGTGGAGGAACGTTCAGGACTTTCAGTTCCATTCAGTGCTTTCTGCTCCTCGCAGCCAAAAAGCTGGGCAGCTTGGCGTCCTCGGCAGCCACGAGCCCAGATGTCCGGCTGCGATACAGTTTCCTTCCCACTCTCCCTGTTGGAGCTGTATTCATTTACAATCGCAAATAAAAGACGTATCCAGAGGCCCTATTTTCTCCTTGTGGTTTGCCGTTGTAGTCATGTGTGGGAGAGACAGTCTAGGAGTCGGGGCAACCAGTCAAAGTCTAAAATTGTTTTCCCTTTCCCTTGGAGGGGATGAGATGGGTCCTCCGTGTGGCTCGGGGCCGTGTGTTTTCTGGGCCTGGCATTCTCCATGCGTCATCGCCTCCATCGATGTCTCTTTTTCTTTCTTCAGATGAATATGCTGATGAAACTCCAAGAAGCAGCCAATTACCCGGGCACACAAAGCTGCGACAGCGATAGCACCAGCCATCATGAAGACATTCTGGATTCGTCTCTTGAATCTACCCTCTAGAGGGTGAAAAAAAAAGTTAGGGGGAAAGACAATGCTTAAGAAAAAAAAAAGTTTGAAAAGTGAGGTATTTTCATTAAACCACTGCCAGTATGAAAGCATCCTGTCAGGGCCCTGACCCAGAGTTGTGGTCTCTTAAGGAGGCAGCAAAACGAAGTCTGAAGCACCAAGATGCTCAGTTGACACGGAAGCGTAACTTGCTTTTCTTTCTAGGCATTTTATTTTTTTAATCTCTGTGGAGTGATGTAAGGCTCCAATACTCAACTGGAAAGGACCCTAATGATAGGGCAACTGAAGATTGCACATGGGTTAGCCAAACTGGACTTTCTGTTTTTTCTCTTTAAAAGTTTACAATGCAGACTTTTTTTTCTTTTTTTCTTTTTTTTTTTTGGTAGTTCCTTCTCTGGTTTCCTCTGAGGGGTTGTTCCCCTCAAGCAGGATCCACTCTTCTGATCCGTCCAACCTCTTTTGTGCCACATGGTGCTGGTTGCGGAGCCCCAGTAGCGTTTGTGTTGTGTGCTCACCCCATTCCAAAATGAAGAGGCCAGGCCTCTCCAAGCACAAGTGGGATTGTGCGACCCCCCAGGGAAACACTGCTGTGGCCAGCTGGAGAAGGGCCAGCATCACTCTCAGCTGCCGTGATCACAGGCTGTGCTTCACCCACGCTTCAGTGTCTGAGTCACAGGTTTGATAAGGTTGTTTTTCCCACTGTGGTCTTTTGAAACCACCTGCCCATTCCCTTAAAAAAAAAAAAAGTTTTATACCAATTATTAGTCCACACTGACAACAGGCTTTTTAGGGCTTTGTTTGTTTGAGCCTAGTCAGTGAAAAGAAGGAACATTTCCTATGGTGCTGTCCCACTGCCTTAAGCCGATTTCTACAACAGTTTAACCGTTGGTTTAAATCCTGAACCACTGGTCATTTCCACTGTCTTCACTTACAACACCAGTTAACACAGTAGCCTCATCTCTATTTTTGTGTTTGTTTTTGAAGAAATGGATAGGAGAAAGATCAGTATTTTTACCTTGTGAATAGATTGCTTTGCCTATCCTCCAAAAGACCCAAGTGACCCAGAAGCCCTCTTGGACTGTCATTTACAAGCTAAGCCATGTGGCTATCTTCCATCCAGTTCTAGGGGAAAGAGTTTCAGAAGGCGGGAGATGGTGAATTCTTATCCAGCAGAGCTGGAAGCACTAGATGCAGCATGAGCACAACTATTCGGCTTTTCTCTCCTATTCTTTTTTTTTTTTAATTATTATGAGTTTTGAGCATGTTGTTTTGATGGGTGTTATTGTACATGAGAAATTCAGCATTCGAGAACACTGAAGCAGTGAAGTCACTGTGGATGAGAAAGCATTTATACTGTAAAAGAAGGTTAGATTTGCACAGTCTACTGGGTAGGTATTGTAAATAATCACTTAAAAAACTTGCACAAGTCAAAACAAACACACACACACACAAATTGTATTTTATCCTGTGGGTGTTAAGAGATGTTTCACTTGCTGAGATTTCCTGTCCGTTGCAAACAAATACAGAATGCAGACCCTCAATGCTGTTGTTACCTGGTGTGTTTGTCCTGTATTTACAGTTGTGATGACCATGCAGGAGCTATCAGTGCTAGAGTGAGCATGCTTCAAAACTGTCCATGAAGCCAATACATTTTTGGAAAAGTAAAAATGTCTGAAAGTGCATCTGTCATGGCGGGCTTTCGGGAGAGTACATGAGAGCTGACGGGAGTGACTGGAGAAGTTCCCACCACGCAGAGAGGACAGGTTTGAAACGTACCACCCCAAGGGCTAGGCCACGGTGTAGACTTGTTCCATGCGTGTGAAAATGTGCTACTTCAGGACGTTCAATTGGTGCTACTCTCTGTGACCACCCACGGGTCAGTTGCTGTAGAACAGTAACAGCATGAGACGTCGCTGCAGCCGTCAGAGTGTCGCTCGGCTACAGGTCCTACACGGTGCTACTGCCCCGAGGGAAATCGCAACTGATTTGTGCACCTAGAAAGGGCACCCTGACTTCGAAGCCTCAAACGTGGATCGCGTCTGCGGTGAAACGTCGATATGCGTAGCTGGATGAGTGACTAGTGGCCCTTGTACAATATGTGATCTAAGAAAATTGCTAATCTTTCCCTGCCATTTTGAGAACCACAGTTCAAACATGATCATTAAACAGAAATTCCTGCAATACATCCCAGTAGGTCCGCCTAGTTTACAACTTAAACTAGTTTGTGAAACATTTGTCTGTATACATTTTATATTTTGTACATTTTTGATGTAACATACCATGTAAATAGAGACAGTGAAATAAATCATCTGAAAAGTTTTGTAGTCTTTGTAAAGCCCCGGCAGCAACTACTTGGTGTCCGTGGACTTAACTGGGTGATGTATTTTCTATTGGTTGATTGTTCCTCTAGCTTGTAAACCAGCTTGCATATATTTTTTTGCAAATGTGCACCCTGTATCTGTCTAAATTATTACTTTGCCATTAAAGTGGAATTATTTATTGACAACAAGGTGTGGTGTCTATATGTGGAGAGAATTGAATAATTATGCACCAAAAGTATCAAACTTTAAAATGTTGCTTGCACTATTAATAAGCCATGAGTAGGATGTGTGTGATTTTTTATTTTATATTCTTCATAGAAAGGACCTCATAGCTTTTAAATGAGTAAATATATTGAAGGTACTAGGTATATCTTTTTAAATGAAAGTTATTTATTCAGTGAATATTTTTAGAAAACTCATTATTAGTCTACCTAAATGATTATAAAATAAGCATTAATATAAAATAAAATGTTAATATTCACTTAATTTTATCAACTTATTAAATGTTTCTTTGTTTTTATTCCATTAACTTTTTTTTGACCTTTTAGCGCTAAAGATGCTTTTAACATTGAAGAATTCTTCTGGTGGTGGTTTATTTTTAATAGACATTATAAAAAGAAAAGGAAACCTCTTTAAAATGAGAAATTTTTTTCAAAGCACCCTGGTCTTTCATACCAGTAATTGGAATGCTTATTTGGGTACTCTGAGTAGGGTTTTAATTTTAAGCAGGAAAATTAGAACAGTTGTTGAGGAAAAAAAAGAGCTATTAGTTAAAATGAGTCAAACAACAGTAATAGATTAAAATTGATAAGTGTTTCCTTTTTCACAGTTTCAGAGATTGGGAAATCTCCACAATCCATCTTATCCAGGTAAACACTGAGCTGACATAAAACTTGAACATTGTTCTGACACATTGGGCGTCATGCTGTGTAAGTGTGGGCCCCAACACTATCATTGTCTGGGTAACCTTGGCCAGTTACTCACTCTTTATGCCTAGTTTCCTCGCCTATCAAGTGGATGACTGGAATAATATCCACCTCTTACAGATTACTGTGTTTTCAAAGGTCAGCAGTATTTTTTTTTTTAAGAATGCATCTTCTAAAACTCAGTGTCCTCATTTATAACATGGGGTAATAGTACCTATCTCATAGGGCTGTTGGGAGTATTGAGTTTAGATCTGTAAAGCACTTCAAACAATGCCTGGAACTCAGGAAACTGAATAAATGCCAGCTACTATATTAGCACAGCCATTATAATACATTAATAACATCAGTAGTGTAACAAATACTCATTATTGAATTTGTAAATGCATTCATGGTAATATTAAAGTCTTATGAAAAGCATGTCTTTTATCCAGTTTGCCAATCTGTAAAATGGGATAGTTTTAGTTTCTACTCATACGATTACTTTGAAGAGGAAATATTTTATTTATTTATTTATTTTCAGTTTCAGTTCAGTCACTCAGTTGTGTCCAACTCTTTGCAACCCCATGGACTGCAGCACGCCAGGCCTCCCTATCCATCACCAACTCCCAGAGCTTGTTCAAACTCATGTCCATTCAATATTACTGAATTAATATTGCTTTTTAGTTCAGAGGGGATGATCTGGATACATAATCATTGGAGTCTCTCTTCTCCACATCTAGTATACATTATCTGTTAGTTACCCAGGAGTTCTTCTACTAGAAAACATGTTTATAGAAATTAAACACAGCACACTCTGAAGTAGAATCTCATTAAAGAAAAATAAAAACTTCTCAAGTTCCTTTCCATAAAATTGTAAAGACATTCATAAATCTTTTATTTATCACTGGAATTTTTAAAGTTTGCCAGTGTTCTATAATAGCATGATAGAGTTGAAGTTGGTGTACAACTGAGTAATTTTTGTAGTGATCACATGGTGAGATGAAAATATTTTCAGTATATTGGATTATATTAACTGTAGTATTAAAATTCACCTCATTTTTCTTTTTTTTTTTAATGTGGCTACTACAAATTTTACAATTAAATACATTGCTCATATTTGTGACTCACTTGATATTTCTATTCCCATTGGCTAACACTACTATAGAAAGACTGATCTTTATAAAATTTGATCACCCAGCTCCCTCATCTCTTCTGCATTTTGTTTTTAGAAATAAGGTTCAAATATCAAATGACAATTTTTTGCTCAATCTGGATTTTGTTTATCTCTTGACTTCCTTTTTTACTCTGTTCACTGCCCCCATTTTGATTCTGTTCTCTACATTACCCTAGTTGTAGAATCAAGAAGTAATTGTTGAAACATTAACAACAACTTTCCAGACGATTTAGCCATGAGCATGTGTCAACACTTTAGTATCATCTTAAAAAAAATAAATAAATAAACCCTCTGGTAGGCCAATTTAAAGGTTGCTTTCCTAGTAGACATTTATTAAAAATGTAGGTTAGATTACAAAATACTTAAAGATTCCCAGCTTCTTAATTGTCAGGTGGATGGGTAAGTGGAGGGTTTCCCAAATCAAATATTAACCCCATAACCAATTAAGCAAATACTGAACACTACTAAACATTTATCAGCATTCTAATTTATTCAGAGACGATTACAGAGTCCATCAAGCAATAATATTTTGTCTGAGACCAAGTTTAGAACAGCATTTTTTTTCCTCTTACCCCGGTGCTGTGTGCTCAGTCGTGTCAGACTCTTTGTGATCCCATGGACCATAGCCCACCAGGCTTTCCTGTCCATGGGATTCTCCAGGCAAGAATACTGGAGTGGGTCCTCTTACCCCAAGGGCCTTAAATATTCCCAAATGCCTTAGACAAGCATTTCTGATCCTTCAGATAAGGTCAGACAAGACTCTGAATTATTTGCTTTTATATATAAAATCAAATTACACACACACACACACATATATATATATATATACCTCTGGAGGAGGAAATGGCAACCCACTCCAGCATTCTTGCCTGGAAAGTTAAATTCCATGGACAGAGGAGCCTGGCAGGCTACAGTCCATGGGCTTGCAAAGATTCAGACATGACTGAGCACATGTATCATATATATATATATATACACTGTGATCCCACTTGTTCAATTTTAAGGCCTAGAATATAGTGCACTCTCAAGAAATATTTACTAAATAAAAATATTTCTGAACATGGAGACAGCAGCTGAATGTGAGCTTACGTTAAATAAAAATATTTAATTTGAGGAGAGCCACTTTCACAGGTGGAGCTCCCCGAGAAGACAGATGAATAACGACCGTGCCACTTAGCGATCACAGGAGGAGGACAGATCACCCGTGGGTTTGTGTCCTCTGGTACAAGGTTCTGCCTCATGCTTGGAATATTTTTCCTCCTTTAGATGTAATGTACTACATACTTGCGACCAAGTTTTCATTTTCTTTCTGCTTTTCAAGTCCTTTGAAGATGGTCTAGTTATATAGTGCAATTTAAATATATGGGCTTTTTTAGAGGAAGAGATAAAATATACCAAGCAGTTGGAAATCTAATGCTAGAGCCTTGAAGACAGGTGGAGGCTGAAAAGATCAAAACAGGAATCCTGAGCATAGAAATGAGAAGTGATGTGAATTTCACCTTGGGATATTTCTCCCACGAGAAAGACCTTGACCAAATAGAAAACAGAAGAGAGAGTAAGCACTGTGGTGAACATCTTTATAGTTCATTTGGCTTTCGTTTTTAACTAACGTATTTAAGCCTGTTTAATGGGACACTTATAAAGGAGGAGTACAATGTAAAATCATTGAAGTCCAAATCAGAAAAATCTATATTCTAATCCTAATCGCATTTTGTGATTTTTTTTTCCTAGGAAAAATTAACTACTGTATGGTCAGTGTTAATCTAGATTTTATACCCTGCAGATGGCATCGACTAATGAAATGCAGCCAAAGTGAATGGAGCCACTCTGTACATCATTTGTGATACAAGTAATGTGTATCTATCAGAGAAGCTAGGGGAGAGTCTTTGCCAATAGCAGTAGTTTCTCAGGGGAAGTAAATTCACCTGGACTCTGCTCACTCGTGAGACTTCATGCTCTTTAAACAATTACAGCCCTTCGACTAGAAATATAACAGGAGCCTCACATACCATTTTAAATTGTCCAGTAGCAGCATTATTACTAAAAGTAAAAAGAAACAGGTGAAATTAATTATAATAACATACATGCTTTCTTATCTCAACATACCAAAATATTGTTTCAACATAAAAGAAGCTAAAATATGTCTTAATACAGTTTTTAACATCTTGCATTTTCTCTTTTTTCTCTACTGTCTTTGAAACCCACCGTGTGTGTGCCCTTGGTACACACCTCAATTTGGAGACTAAATGTTCACCAGAAGAACCGCATCTGTACTCAGACTGCAAAAGTTTAGGTCAGAAGATCCACATAGGTAAGCTGTTCCAAACATAGTTGACATGAGCTGAGTACCAGTTTTAAAGTTAAATTTTAGACAATTGACATTAAAGTTAAAATATGAGTTCCTAAATTGCTATACGGCCTGCAAGTAGACACAAGTGGACAGTGGCCACTCCTGAATAAGACGGCCCAACCTTAGCCTCACCCAGCAACCAGCTTTCTCAGATCACAGTGTGTTCATTTCTTGTTTGGACATCTCATCTCATATATACACATATGTACATATATGTATATGTGTACATGCATACATATGTGGATACATATAGTAATTACATAATAATTATAGGTATATAACTAAATGTATTTATATCTTTACATATATATCTATCCATATATTCACATATGTTTTCTAAATCCCAGGACATAAATTGTCTACTCATCCTACACTTGGATAAAAAAGGACCTCTCCTCAATGAGAGACAAAAGTTCTTTTTCCACGGGGAAAAATTCTCTTCTCTAGATTAAAAAGAAGAAGAATTAGCAGGTAAAGACATTTTAAATAGCAAAATGACTCCCAGAGCAAGATCAGAACTTCAATTCAAACCTGAAAATAACATTAGCATATGTAAATATAAAAAGAGAATATTTTTAAGATGAGGTAATAGAATAACAAACACACTAAAAATGGACGATCATACTAACTAAGAGATACAAGAAACAGGTTAAAGCAGTGCATTTCCTGATCTGTATAAGATATCCCTGGGGGCTAGCCACCTACTGTTTTTGCCAACGTTCGCTGTTTACCAAACCTTTTAATTGTTTCTCTGCC